CATAGCTTATTTGTTCGGGAACGCAAGTTCGAACATGAAAATTTGTTAACACTTTGAATGGTTAAAATTGTTAATGTTTGTAGAAGTTTTTTCATTTGTCAAGTTTGGGAATACAGGTCTGAACATTACTTATTTGTTTAGGATGACGTTACCGAACAAATAAGTAATGTTCAGGAATGTAAGTTCGAACATGAAAATTTATAACACATTGAACAGTCAAAATTGTTAATGCTTGCGGAAGTTTTCATTTTTTCAAGTTTGGGAATATAGGCCTGAATATTACTTATTTGTTTAGGAATGCACGTCCAAATATGGAAATTTCTTAACACATTGAACGGTCAAAATTGTTAACATTTGCAGAAGTTTTCATTTTTTCAAGTTTGGGAATACAGGCCTGACCATTACTTATTTGTTCAGGAAGGTATTCCCGAACAAATAAATAATATTCAGGAATGTAGGTATGAATATTAAAATTTCTTAACAAATTGAATGGTAAATTTCTTTAACACTTGCAGAAGATATCAAAGTAGTCCAAATCCATTATCAGGTTCAAAAGTTATTCATTCATCGCGTAGCTTTGATAATATTGCAGCGTAGTTCTCTGCTGAACTCACAATTTTATAATATCTACCAATAAAACCAACCAAAGTAATTATTATAATTTTTTTCTGCAAGAGAAGAAATTATTACGAGAAAATTAAGAAATTATGTATATATATATATAGAGAGAGAGAGAGAACATATCAACTGTGACAATAGTGGATGAAACAGTGGAGATAGTAATCACAATAACCCTTCTTCTTGTTGGTGAATTTTGTTAGGGTTTTTTAGAAGAGAGATTTTTTTGGGGTGTGGGAGGTGTGCATTCAATGGGTAGAATATTTTTACAAAGATAATTTTGGTATTATTTGGGGGAATTTTTTTTTTGAAGGTTTCAAAATTTATAAGGAGGGACCCAAAGAAATGGAAGGTCCAAAATAATTCATGGAGTGCTAATAGCATCACTCATCTATATATATGTATAGCTTTCATTTCTTCTCTTACAAACCAAGTGTAGACAGCTCACCAAAAAATAAAATAAATACATAAATAAAATGCTAAAAAATCCAATAAATTGAATTACAAACCATGTAAGGATGTAAGAAAAATCGAAAAAAACCGATTAAACCGATCATATTTAGTTAGTTTTTTAATATGAATAGGTCTGTTTGGTTTTGAAAATTAATTTTTTTCAGTTTTCGGTTCGGTACCGGTTTTGATATACTATACACCGATTTGCACCGAAACCGACCAAATATATTTACATATAATATATATTAAATATATAATGAATAACACTGCCTTAGTATTTATTAATTTGTTTCTTAAATTATATTTTGTTTCTAATTGTAATTCAGCAAAAGTTTCAAGCCTTAGTATTTATTAATTTTTTTGTTTGTATTTTTGTGAATGGTTGGATTAGATATGGTTAAAATTGTGTATAAATGGCTAATTTAATATTTTTATATAAATTATTTAGTATACTACAAATTTAAGAAATGACTCAATTTTGAAAGTATTTAAACTGATTAAACTGCATTGAGCCGAACCGTTTGAATCGGTGCGATTTGGTGTGATTTGATAAAAAATTTAGTCTGTATTAATTTTTAATATAATAAAACTGATATTATCGATTTAGTGCAAAATTCTATCTAAATACCAGCCGTTTCGAACCGATTCCATCCCTAAAACCAAGTGTCAAAAAGAGGAGGCCTATAAGTCTGCATATCACAACACAAGTCGAATGTAGACGACTCTTTTGTTACCCAATCACAAGTGCGGGAATTTATTTATTCATTTATTTATTTTTTTGGGGACAAGTTGATGCGGTGGTTCAACTTGGTTTTTATTGATTGAAATAATAGGACTCTTTTCAAGGCACAACTGAACAAGTGTATAAAGTTCTTTAAGAAGAAAACATTTAATATTAACACAGCAAAGAAGCAAAAAAAGGCAGGCCTACCTTGTCAACCATTATATGATTTCCATCAACATTTCGAAGCAAGAGTTCTTGCCCATACAAAACTTCAAGAGTGTGAGCAAATCCAATCCAAGTGCTACTTTGATTCGAGCAATCCACTTAAAATCATCTAGAAATGTAAAATGGCTAGTAAATATACAATAAACAAACACAAATGATTCTATTTCGAGATTTTGGACCATATCACCGTGCCCAAGTAATAGTACAGTGGTCTTGTATTGAGTTTATTGGTTTAACTGATCAAAATTTTCAATTCTTTTTAATTTTTGCCTCCAAAATCTTTTTAATCTTCTGAACAGATCAATGTCTGAATAGGAGAAGACATGCTAACTAGTGATTAAAAAAATCCAAACTAGATAATTAGATCACCATGTATGAGTAGGTTTTCTACAGTATCAAGTGGTTGTCGCTGATATACAACACCCAACCGTCCATTTTCACAGCAATATCCAATCAACTTCACCAAGTTTGGAAGCCAATTCACGTCTGAATTAGTCAGTAACTTGATTTCATCCTATGACATAAATTATCATTAGATAAAACCATCAAACGCAATAAGAAACTGTGTCCAATCAAAGTCTTTTCAGCTACTTACTCTCAAACGAGATTCTTGGGGCTTCCGATTGAACACACTTATCTTACAATCTTCCCAAATTTTAACCGTAACCTCTTGGGTTCCCAAACCATGTTGAATTTTGCCCCGGAACACTTTTCCAAATTGGGTATCCCTGATAAAGTTTTCAGTGCTTAATCCCTTTGTGATAGACTCCAGTTCTTCATAGGTGTACACATCCAGACCACTAGCAGATTCCATACCTTCAAAGCCATTTTATTTACGTGGAGGTAAGACAACATTGAGGTGCAAGCAGACAAGATGAACCAATACAGAAATTAAAATTTGAGACAAGCAAAGTTTATGGGGGAGCTTTCTTATAATTCATTCTTTCTATTGTCATTTCAAAGTAAAGTTAACACTTTTTTATGAATCATAAAGATGACATGTACCATTTTATCATACAAGTTGGTGTTAATAACCTGGTAGAGAAATAAGATGGATTGGGGGGGCTGGAACCCAGTGTTACGCAGGAGAAAAGTGGGAAGCCAACTGGGAGATACCAAGGAGGGAGTCTTGATCACCATTTTCGTGGATAACATCCTTGATTCAATGGATTCTAAAGGTTTGTTCAATCTTTTTCAAAAGTTTGGTCTAGTCAAAGATGTGTTTATCCCAGGTAAGAGGAGGAAAGCTTCAAAATCCAGATTTGGGTTTGTAAGATACGACTGTGAGGTGGCTGTATGGGTGACGATACAGAAGGTAGATGGCTTGTGGTATGGGAACAAGGCACTGAGGGTTAAGTGTGCAGAGTATCAAAAGCCTCAGACAGTGGGGCAGCAGAAGCCTAAGAGGTTGAGTAGAGGAGATGAAGGTCGAGTAGACAATCGGTGGGTGCACTCAAAGAAGTGAAAAGGTAACGCAGTCCAAAAATCCTATGCAGAGGGATTACTAAGTGATGATGCCAGAGACAGAGAAAGGGTGGTGTTAAAAGCTTATGCGGAAGGGAATGGGTGGAGGAGTGAAAGTTTAGTAGTTCAGCTGAGTAGTTTCTTAGCCTTCAAGGATTTCAGAGAGGAAATGAGAAGTAGAGGAATGGGGGATGTAGTTGCAAGAGAGCGGGTGCAGGAAGGAAAGAGAAAGCTGCAGAGATGGGGAAAACAGTGGTGTGAATCCATCAATGAGTGGAAAAAAGGCCAGTTTTTAGAGCAAGAGAGGTGCATCTGGTTGAACTGTTTTGGCATTCCCATTAATTTATGGAGCACCACAACAGTTCGCAGCATAGGTAGTTATTGGGGGAAGGTAGTTCAATTTGAGGAGGATATCAACAATCCAATAACTTTTCAACAAACTAAGGTTAGAGTGATTACGAGATGTTTGGAGTGGATCAATACAACAATTTTTCTAGAGTACAAAGGTTGTCACATTCTAGTTAGAGTCTGTGAAGAGTTGCCCAGGTGCTTATTTCCTAGTCATTATGAGAGCAGAGGGAAAGATCTAGGCCGATTGCATTCCAATGGCAAAGAAGAGGTAGACCAATTGTCTGGCAATGGTGGACGAAGCAAGAGTGTAAGGAAAGCATCTGCGGGAAGAGAGGGGTTGGTGAGTGATGGATTTGAGGTGGCTAGTAGGGTTATGGAGACTGTGATGGGCAGTTCTGAGGTGCAAGGTAGGGATAATGATGGTAAGCATGCAAATGCAGTGGTTGACTTAGGGAGGAGCGTGGGGACTGGCTATGAAGGTGCATGTTCCAAGGCGAGAGGGGTGGAGCAGGATGTCAGCTCTCGCTAGTTAATCATGAACGAAGTTCAAATTATAGATGAGGCTATGTGTAGCACAGGTCTCTTAAGGGAGTTGAGTGGGCCAGTAAAAGCAAGGCCCAGTATAAATTTGGAAGTTTTAATTGAGGGAGTGCAAAAGGGGGTTGAGCCCAGTGGACTGGTTCAGGGGATGGAGTCAGATCTGAGTGAAAATTTGGCCCAGACTCAGCTTAGGCCAAATGTAGCCCAAACAACTCTCATAAACATGGTCAAACGGACTACAAAAGGGAGTAATCTAAAGGAAGACGCAGTGCAAAAAAGGGAAAAGTCATGGAAAAAAGGTATCGAGTGTAGGCGAGGCGTGTTGGGCAGGCTGGGCTTTCAACGGGGAGCTATTCTCAGAGCTTTTGCTGATGCAACAACTTCCTTCATGACTACTTCCCAGAGTCAGGCAGCGAACAGAAGGAGGCAACTGATTGCGGAGGCTATGTCAACTGTGAGAGTAGGCACTATATTAGGAGTGGATTGCCAAGGCAAAGAGGAAGAGGTAGTGAACAGAATCGTGGAGCTGGAAGAGAAGGATTTGAGCAGAATTGAAGGTGAACAGAGGGCTACCAGAGCTTAGCTGGCTGTTTGAAGGGGATTGGGTGTAAGTAGTGTGTTTATCATGAAGATTTTATCTTGGAATGTTAGAGGGCTGGGAAGGCCAGAAAAAAGAGGAAATATAAAGAGCTTGGTGAGGGAGAGATGTGTTGATGTGCTCTTTCTTCAGGAGACTAAAAGAAGCTCTATGGATGATCATTTTGTGAAAACTATTTGGCCTTATGAAGAATTGGAATTTCTGTTAGTAGATTTAGAAGGAAGTGCTGGAGGCCTTTTGTGTATTTGGAAGCCACAAGTCTTCGAGCTTAAGGGCTGCTGCAGCAGCAGCAAAAATTTCATCATATTATCAGGTATGTCTAGTAATTCTTTTCAGTGCACTCTTGTGAATATCTATGCTCCTAATGAGGTTCTTAGGAGGAGACAGTTATGGGACTCTCTGGTGAGTATCCACCAACATTTTCCAAACCCGTGGTGTGTGGGAGGGGACTTCAATGAGATTAGATATATGGGTGAGAGGAAATGTTGCTCATCTAGAGAAAGGGGGATGAAGGACGTTAATGAGTTTGTGAAAAAATTGGAATTAATTGATATGCCTTTGCTAGGTAGGCAGTATACTTGGTGCAATGCTCTGGATGGGAATATGTGGAGTAGGATTGGATAGATTCCTGTTAGATTTGAAGTGGATGGAAAAGTTTTCGTTTAAGCAATGGGGTCTACCTAGGACAATCTCAGACCATTGCCCCATTTTGATAAAGGAAGATGATAGGGATTGGGGACCAAAGCCATTTAAATTTATCAATGCCTGGTTATCTCATCCATCCTTCATGTCAGAAGTTAAAAAGAGGTGAGAGGAAGCACAAGTTCAAGGGTGGACAGGGTTTAGAGTAATGAGAAAATTGAACATGCTTAGGAGTCACTTAAGGGTGTGGAATAAGGATGTGTTTGGCAATATTGACACTCAGTTAAAGACAGCAGAGGAAGAGCTACATGAATGGGATTTGAAGGTAGAGTCTAGGTCCCTTGATGAACAGGATTTTAAGAGAAGAAGAGAAGTAAGAAGCCAGGTGTGGCAGCTTAGTAGGAGCAAGGAAAAGTTATGGCATCAAAAGTCTAGGCAGAAGTGGGCTTATTCTGGTGATAAAAATACTAGGTACTTTCACATTATGGCTAGCAGAAGGCAGAGAAAGAATTTGCTTGACTTTGTTGTTGTGGAGGGTAGGAGAGTGGAGGATCTAGCTGTGGTGAAGCAAGAAGTGGTTAGGCATTTCAGTCTGTTGTTCTCTGAGAAATGGAAGTTTAGGCCAAAAATTTTAGGCCCTTTTGCTGTTATTAGCTCTATGGATGTTGGTAACTTGGAAGCTGTATTCTTTGAAGATGAGGTATGGGAAGCAGTGCAGGACTTGATGGGAACAAAGCCCTAGGCCCATATGGATTTAACCTTACTTCCATTCAAAGGTGTTGGTCTATATTGAAAAGGGAGATCCTACAACTGGTGAATGAATTTTACCAAAATGGTAAGCTATCTAGAAGGGTCAACAGCTCTTTCACCGTTCTTATTTCGAAGAAGGATAATCCTATAGGCTTAGGGGATTATAGACCTATCAGCTTGGTTAGCCTTGTCTATAAAATCTTAGCAAAGGTGCTTTCCCGGAGGCTTAACAGAGTTTTGCCATCTGTGATTAGCGAGGTACAGTATGTTTTTGTGAGTGGTAGGTACATTTTAGATAGTGTGTTAATCGCAAATGAAGTTGTAGATGTGTGATAACCCTATTTCGTATTATGTTAATTGGTCCTTATTATGAATTTGATTATGTGTCTGATATGATTTTGTGTGCCAATTATGTGAATATATGTGGTTTTGAATTTCTATCTGTTCATCATAGGAATATCGGTTGGATTATCTACTTTGGAAATTAAATTGAAGGCCTTATTAGCCACAGAACCCGAAATTGACTGCGCCATTGTGATTGGCGTAATTTTTAGAGCCTACGGTGAAATTTAATTGAAAATTGATTTGGATCAAATTAATTAGATTAAATTAATGGGTTAGTGATCAATTATTTTACATTAGAATAATGTATATGAGAGGGGACTTTTAGAGGCCATTATACCTCCTCACTTTGTTCCTTTTTGAGCTCATCATCCGAAATTCCTCCCTAGAGAGAGAGAGAACCGGATTTAGAGAGAGAGAGGGTTCAATTTTGAAGATTTTGCTAAGGAGCTCAGGCTTTGAAGGGCTAGGCTCAAGAACTTGCTTCTATCGGGAAGATTGAGCTTCTAGGTGAGTAATTGATTATAAATTCATGAGCTTAATCTTGTGATTTTGTGAATTCAAAGTTGAAGGGTGATCAAGAACAAGAATTATGCTGTATTTGATGAATTTGAAGTCATGGAATGCATGCATGTGTATAATTGCCATGAATTGGTATAGTTGAGCATGAAAAATAGGATCCATGTAGAATCTTGGCTAGAATCCATGCTTGTGACCACCATTTGTACAATTTGAGTTGAAATGGAAGTTATATCTCACATGTATGTACCATTAATAAGAAGTATGAGCTTGAATGCATAAAATTGTTACGTTAAAAGTGAATTTGGTGTAGATTGGGACATGCATATGATTAATTTGTGAAATTGAGCTCCATTGTGTTGTAATTTGGTGTTGGTACCATGTTAATATATGATTATATGAAATTTGAGCCAAAAGCATGCATCTAGAACCATTGAATGTCGAATTGGAGCTCAAGAACATGTTTTGGAAAACCCAAAAAATTTGATGTCCGCTCGAGCAGGGAAACCGACGCTCAAGCGTGAATTCCGTGCTTCCAGTATTTTGGCAGACTTGGATGTCCGCTCGAGCGAGGAAGTTCATGCTCGAGCGGGGAGCTATGTAGACAGACCTTTAGCTCGAGTGCTAGACTTAACGCTCGAGCATAATTTTGATGCATCCAGCACTTTTGCAGACCTCATGGGTCCGTTCAAGCGGGGAAGTCCACGCTCGAGCGGGGACCCTGTTTCCTGAAATTTTGAAAATGCATTCTGTGTTCCATTTTCCGTTCCCTTTCACTTCTAAGTACTCTTAGGCATACATTGAGCATTGTAAATGAGTTAGAAAAATAAGAATTAAGCTTAAAGAGGAATATGTGAATTAAGAACGGATTGAATCAGTTGTGACCCATATGTGTTATGTGATGTGTAGGGTCAAGCTCCAGGGCAAATCAATTAGCCGATCACTGTGAGTAATATCTAACGAAGATATCTGAAATATGTTATTGTCCAATTGCTTACGTCCATGTAAGTTTTATAAGTTTCGTTGATTCGATTGGTGGACAATGTTTGTTATACTAAATGAATGGATGGGCCAGAGGCTGTTTGACAAGAATGAATGGATGGGCCAGAGGCCGTTTGACAAGAATGAATGGATGGGCCAGAGGCCGTTTTGACAAGAATGAATGGATGGGCCAGAGGCCGTTTTGACAAGAATAAATGGATGGGCCAGAGGCCGTTTTGACATGAATGAATGGGTCAGAGGCCATTTCGACATGAATAAATGAATGGGCCAAAGGCCAATTTGACACGAATAACAATTTGTCATTTGAATGGGCTACAGGCCAGTTTGATATGAAGGAAAGGATGGGCCGAAGGCCAGTTTGTCATTTGAATGGGCCAAAGGCCAGTTTGACATAAATGAATAGGCCAAAGGCCAGTTCGACGTGAACGAAAGTACAAATGGGCCAAAGGCTAGTTTGACCTGAATGATACTAATGAATTGGGCTCGAGGCCGTATGATGTGTTTGGAACCGCAGTTACTTAACTTACATATGTCTATGTATGTATGTATTAGTAGAAATATAAATTGGGCCCAAGACTGTTTGATGTATATTGTTCCAATGTATATTCTTTATTTGATATTATTCACTAGGTTTTCGCTCACGCTCATTCATGTGTTTGTAGGTGAGCCAAGAGAGGTCCAGACCCAGCCTCAGTGACGTCTGTAGGGAACAACCAAAGTTTTGAAGAGTCAGCCCTTGCGTCTCACGCACGAGACACGTCTTCGCCCTTTTGCCTTTCTGCATATTTTGTTATGTTGGCGAGGACTTCGGTATACGTCTGAGTATAGTTTTTTTTGGCTGACTTAGATTTGAATGATCCTGTCGGTACAGAACCTTATGCTACTAGACTTTCTGTTGTGAGTTATTAACATATGTAAATGTGGAATGTTATGATGCATATAAGCGCGACTCTATGGACAAAGTTTTAAATTTGCTTTTGTTTGGCCCTTTTACTCTAATGAGTTTTGTCTTAATTGGTTTGAGGCCGTAGGTAATCTCGTGATTACTGGCCGGTTATGGCCTTAACCCATAGGGGCGGGTTCGGGTCATGACAGAGTGGTATCAGAGCACGAGTTAATAACTCACACACTTGTCCAAAAGAGCAATAAGCATCTAGAAAAGATCTAGGATGCATTCATGTGATAAGTATGAATTTGGACGCATCGAGAATATGCCTAACTGTTTTGATATGAACGATTATGTGCTATAAGTTTGTGAATTGCTTGCATTGCAAAATATTTGAATACGTATGCTCTTTTGTATATGCATACCTGTGAATCTTTTGTATAAAGTATAATGCAAGTTTAATCAGATGGTGAGAACTTGTGATTATATGATATACAAATTGTTACACTAATGTGTACAACAAGTTTATTTTGTTATAATGCACATGCATGAACATATGAGTCATGAAAAGTTGCTTATGTGCATTCGATTCTGCAAATGGGTGTCTATGTGAAATATGAACATGATTTGAGTATATAACTACTTAGTAAATGTTCAGCATGCGATATCTGATAAGTATGCAATCATCTGTTATGTATGCAATTAATTGTGCCTTGACGATACATAAAATGAGAATATAATAATGTGCCTATGTGTGAATGTACGCATGTGTATCTGTGCTTATTTTGTATTGGGCATCTCGGTATTTAGCAAGGCTTAATAAGAATTTGTGTAGAACATGGATAAAGTAAGGGCATACGAGTTGGCAGACTCTTCCATAGCCCGACTTGATAGACTGCAAAGAATAGTACAAGAAATGGCAGAGATTTTAAGACAATAACGTCAGTTGCCACTACGGCGAGAACCTTTGCCACCACCAGTGTAAGAAACACTGAGGAGTTTGCTATCGAATTTCTGCGGCTTGTTATAGGTGTGGTAGAATGGACCATATGGTAAGGAACTGTCCCCGAATTGAACGGAACGCGAATAAATCTTCTGCCTCAGCTAGATTCGTACCAATGGTAGGAATTGCTAATCAAGATAGAGTAATCACACTCATCTCAGAAAGCGCTCAAAATACTGCGAACGTTATCCCAGGTATCTATACTATTTATAAACGAATGCTTATGTATTGATTGATTTTGAATTAGTACATGTGTATATCTTTGTTTGGGGTATTATTGATTCGGATCGGCATCTTCTTTCATATCTGCTGCATGTGCATCCAGACTAGTTAGACCCACAAGGTCGAGACCGTATTCATTGAATGTATATGCTCCATTTGGGGAATTTGTGAAATATGTATTAGTGTAGACACCCCATTTTTGACCGACCTTAAGACTCGGACGTCACCAATTGAGCGCTTGGTGATGTTGCATATTGT